GAGTGCGATTTCGTAGTTTCGTAGGGGATTAATTTGGCTAAGGCAAAGAGGAGTCCTTCGCCTTCCTTTTTTCCTTATCGCGATCGTTAATAACGAGTACTGCTGCTGCAAGAAAACTAGTATTGCTGTTGCAGTTGAGTTTGAAGTCTTGCAGAGCAGGAACGAGGATCTTGTTTCCTTCTAGGTAGAGGTCATGATCAGGTGCCTTACCAACCTTGTCGTTGCAATTCCACTGCATTAAGCGAAGACTGTTAGAGGGTTCTCGGGGTGATAGTTTTATAAGGGCAGTATCTCGGGGGCGTTTCGAATTGGGGTATAAATTGTGTGGGTGAAGTGTAAGGGTTCGGGGAATTGAATTTCTTGGGGAAAGGTGTTAGTGGTCTTTTCGACCGGGTTTCTAGTTGATGTCTGGGTCGGAGAGTGTCTCAGATTTGGGGAAGGGGTATGGGATGCAGGTAGGTGTGATGTCAGTAGTCTAGTACGAGTGAATGATTGAGAAGGTGATGAGTTGATGAGTTGTTTTGAATACAGAGTGAAAGCTGCATAAGCAACTTTTGATAGCAGTTTGTAGTTTGGACAGTAGAAGTCTCTGTGGTGTTGGTTAGTTTAGTTTGGGCCACTGCATTTAAATGGATTCAACCGCCGCAGTGACACAATACGTTGCAGTGAGAGCGGCGGATCGGACCATTACATGACTCTCATTTGTAATTACCGGGGCCTGGGTTTGGTTCGATTCTGCACTATAGTAGTACTAGTAAGAAGAGTGTCCAAGCCGATCCTGAACATCCTATGACTAAAAACACTGTTTTTTTGTTGCGCTGGCCCTCTTAAGGAGGGGAGATTGAAGACTTTTGCAAACTTGTGTTTGCCAAATCCATTTTATAGAAGCGCCTTCTTTGGAACCTCAGCTTATGATACAAATTGTTTTGCCTGCATGTTGTTTTGATACCTTTTCAATCGATAGATACCTATCGACAGATAGTGAGTTTCTTATAACTTTTTTACTGAATTTTTTTTGGCTGAATACCGGTTTTATTAGCCCTTTAACAAAAAATTCATTTTACATGCTTCCGGGGCTTTCTGTTTTGTTTGGATAGAAATTGGGTTTTGAAAAGTTTGGATAATTGAAGAATTTACAAAAACAAAGTTTTTACAAATTTTGGGTTTTTGCAGTTGTACATATTAGAAGTAAATGAAAAACTGTGAAACGATACTATGTTTTTAGCCTAAGCTGTAAAACTTGAAAGGTACGCAAAGGAAGCTCAATTGAAACAATTGCAGTTTGGCACTTTTTGAACTGATTTTATTGGTTAGATTCATTTTAAGTTTCCTCTATACTTTCAAACTGAGTTTTGCACAAAAGGAGGTTTCAGCTATCCTTTGGATTTGTAAGAAATCTATTTTCAAAAGAATTTGGCATGAGGTTAACCGTTTTTAGCGGCAATTGGGAATTTATACTTTTTTTTCGAAAATTAGCCTCAGGTAAAGTAGTTGAGATAAGACTGCGAGCTCTGAATGTTTTCAACTCACTGCTGCAGGAATAGACTACAAATTGCATGTCAAGTTGGTCCCAGCTTTTCTTTTTAAAATTATTTTTAACCAGTTGATGTAGCTGAATTTCGACCTCTTCGAAAGCAATCAGTAGAAAACTGCAACAAATGAAAAATCTCACAGGGTTCCAAATCGTAAGACAAAACAATCTTAAGAAAAAAATTAATATATCCAGCATTGGCGACGTTTTTGGATTTTTTGTTACAATAAGAATTTGTAGCTAACTCTGTTATACCTAGTTTTTTTTCAACAGTTCTCATTTTTACCGACTTCTTATGTTTGTAATGTTTGTGTTGCATCGCAAGTGATGCTAAGCTCCGCTTTACCCTTTTGATGCAATTTTTTTCAAGATGCTTACCGAATAAGGATGCAGATGAATGTCAGAAGGCAGATGAATCTCAGTCTTTTCTCGAAAAATTCTTTAACTTGCCCCTACTTTTTTTCAGAAATGTCCCCGAACACACAACGTGGTATGAAATACTCATACTTGAAGACTTGCATAATTTCAACCTAGGAGTCTCGTTAATTTCAATCATTTTCTTCGAAATGTAATGAAATGTGTTGTAATGAAGGTATTAGGCCAAACCTTGCACGTGTTCAGTTGTTCTTTGAAAAAAATTAAACCAGTTTGTTTAGGAAAACATAAGTTTTCTAATAAAAATGTTTTACGCTCGCAATGGCATGAAAAATAATAGTTTTTGAAATCACTTTCCAGCGCAATTATTTCAATGCTTGCTCTACCGACTAACTACACTTGAAATAGCAACTGTATAGAAAATTGAAACCCTTACGCTCATCAATCAACCAAAAGCGTTGCAAAATTATTCGCTGCTGAAAAAACTTTTCTTTTTAAGCTTTGTTTCCCCTATATTTTTAGATGCTCTAAGAATATTATCATAGACAGTTTTTAGTAATAAAAAAAGAACAAGACTGCTCGTATCAGGGTGAAGCTCTGAACGTTCCGACAGCCTTTTAAGGTCTATGGAGCAGCAAGAACATGAAAAATTTATATGTAAAAAAAATTAAAATAAAAAAAATTGCGATTTTTTTTTGTGAAAAAATCTCCCCAAACGCTTTATTAAGTACAAAATGATAGACTTTGCCCCTATTAACAAATCAATTATGACATATAAGCTTCCTTGAATCAATTTGGAACGATTTCTAATACGGATTAAATCTCGCTTACGTGTTAATAGCGCGAAAAAAAGTGACCACAGGTAAAATATATTCTGAAAAATGAGCTCAAAACAACAATACTTTTGATATGATCTGAAAAATTTTTGTCAAAAATGATAAGTTCACAATTCAAAAATTGACTGAATAAAAAAAACCCTCAAGCATAAATATTCGGCATTTTCTTTGAGCGTCGGAACAATTAGTTTGCCTCAATTCATTTCGATATGATTTTGCAGCGGGGATAATTCGCCATGATCAAACATATAAAGCACAAGCAGTAGAGCTAGATTCGTGACTAGTTAGTACAGTGGGCGGGGCTGACGAAGATCCAGGAAATCGACCCCCCGAGAGAAAAATTCTTTTGAAAATTTCTCTCATTAGAAAAAACCAACCCGAGCATATATATACCTCACTTACTTCGAAAGTTGGAACAAAAAGTTGCCCGAATAAAAAACCACACTGAGCTCAACTATTTGTCACTTATTTGAAAATGGGAGCAATAAGTTAATGGATCGATCAATTTTGTTTTGTGGTATCTGCTTAGTTTATCATTTTTGCGTGATTTATCATTTGCCGCTATAAAATTTGGCCCACGATAATTAAACAAATCGCTTTTTTACCACGGCTTAGAAATTCAAGTGCCAATCACGTTTTTGTTATAATTCAACTAGGCTTTTGTACATCTTGGCAAAACCATAAATAATCCGAATGACATTTAATTCTTCTGAAATGATTTTTGGCCAAGAGTTTTTGATAAACCATAAACTAATATGATTGCATAAGGTATTACGTATAGAACGTGTATGGTTAAAAAATAGAATTTCGATCGCCAAAATTGAATATATATTCCTTTTTTATTTTCAAAAATTGGACCAACAAGAGGATAAGGCGCTACCACACGTAATTGAAACGGATGCTTCATTTTGTTTTAAAAATTGGACCATTTTCCTTTCAGAGTAGTTTGCTAATTTGTCTTCCCCCCTTGTTCAGGATTCGTCCAATTGAGAATTTAACTTATACTTAGTTCTCTTTCGATACAGCCGCTTAGTTTGTCCCATTTAATATATAAAGTGCTCTTTTTTACTCGATTAACTCCACCGATTGAAAAAGTTTTTTAGTTGGTCGAAACCTCAATGAGAATAAGTTATGTCGCTTAAAACTTTGACTTTGAATCGATATCTGCAGTTAGATACGAGGACCAAATATGTTTGTGGATGCCTTTTTATTTCACATCTTGGTATCTCTCGGTTACAGAACTGATTGTTAAGATCATTTTTACCTAATGTTTCATAGAACAAACAGAGGCAGTAGATCACTAACATTTAAAGAGGTAAGAGATGATTTTGAGGCAGACTAAAGTTGCAGTTGTGTCTAAAGTAAATGTTAAGTTTAAGTGAAATGGATATTTTTTGCCTGAATATACGTTGAGCTAACTTTCACGAAACCGTTGTAACTTTCACGAAACCGTTGTTACTAACAATCTAGAACAATTGATGAAGAAGACATGCACAGAGATTGCTGCATCGGAATTATAGTTAAAAATTAAACAATTAGGACATTTAGTGTTCCGACCACTTCACGAACCAGAAGAAACTATGGCATAGGGAAGAAACTATGGTATTTTTTCAACGCATTTCGAGTATTTCAAATAAAACTCGTTGGTATTTCAGAGTGATATCAAATTAAAGCGCTACTGATTGTGATTCCAATTCCAAAAAAAATGTGAAAAAAATTGTTTGTCAAAAAATAACTAATTTGAACTTTTGGCCATTCAGACTAACTTGAGCAGCGTTGGTCTAAAATTTGATTCGTTCTTTCACTGATTTTGATTTTTAGACCCATTTTGATACCCGAGTTAACTTTTTAAAAGTGCACCTGCCCAAAAAAGCACAAAAATTCCAAAAAATCTAGTTCAATTTAAACTTATTTTTCCAAAAACTAATGTGGTCAGAAATTTTTGTGCAGTAACCAACTATCTTTGTTTAAAACTAAATTTAGAGTGCTCTTAAGTAAAATAAAACGTCTAATGCATGCAGGGGCAGATTTTGAGGGGGCGGACATTCCCCCCTCAGGGATTCGACCCCCTGCCGACCCAAAGGGTCCCCCTTTGTACTATTTTGAGATATCTCTTTTTGACCTTACTGACCCTAAAATTTTTCTGAAGGCGCCTTGGGCGCCAATATATAGTAGTTTGAGGGGGGCGCCGAAAAAACAATTCTAAATGATTTTCTGATTCACCTGTACTCTCAATTTCTTAGCCCTATACAAGGGGATAAGATTTGAAAAGTGTGGTCAAATTTATTCATTCTGAAGCCATGCTTTGAAACATCGCCTTTCTAATGGAATGCCTGAAAGTTTAACTTAAGTCAATGTTTTTGACATAATTGCAGTAGTGGAATATTTCAATACTCGATTGTACGACATAATCGAGTCATGCTGGGAGAGATTTTCAGTCTGTACGGAAAAGTTTTTCAGTCTTTTTGCTTTATTTATTTAGTTGTATAGTAGTGTTTGTGTCAAGGTTAGGTGCTTGTCTTGGGAAAGGGAGAACGAGGTGCGGCTCGATGACACTCAATATTCTTCCTCCTCCTGACCTTCGTTCTCATCCGCATCAGTGCTGTCGATGCCAACCTCTTCATAGTCCTTTTCCAAGGCAGCCAGATCTTCTCTCGCCTCTGAGAACTCTCCCTCCTCCATGCCTTCTCCGACGTACCAGTGGACGAATGCTCTCTTAGCATACATCAGATCGAATTTGTGGTCCAATCGGGCCCAGGCTTCGGCGATGGCGGTTGTGTTGCTCAACATGCACACAGCTCTCTGAACCTTAGCCAAGTCGCCTCCCGGGACTACGGTCGGGGGCTGGTAGTTGATGCCAACCTTGAACCCAGTGGGACACCAGTCGACAAACTGGATAGTCCTCTTGGTCTTAATTGTGGCTATTGCCGCGTTGACATCCTTAGGGACGACATCTCCTCGGAACAACAGACAGCAAGCCATGTACTTCCCATGTCTTGGATCGCATTTCACCTGAAAAAAAACAGCAATTCTTTTAGTACTAAAACAGACGTTCTTATAAAAATAGCATCCATATCATTTCGTCAATACACTTTGGTGTGTTCATGTGAATAAGTTTCCCTTAAGTTAACCAAGTGAACAATTTCCTCCTGAAAATGATTGAGGGGGCAGATTAATTAAGTGGTCATCGAAAACATACACATTGACATAATTTTCAGCAAAAATTATTGAAAAGTGTTTCTTGGCAATCAAACTCTGTTTATAACAAAACGCACTAACCATCTGATTGGCCGGCTCAAAGCACGAAGTGGTAATTTCGTTAACCGATAGTTGTTCGTGGTAGGCCTTCTCAGCAGAAATCACCGGAGCGTATGTTGCGAGTGGGAAGTGGATCCTCGGGTAGGGTACCAGATTAGTCTGGAACTCAGTCAAGTCCACGTTTAATGCGCCATCAAATCTGAGAGACGCCGTGATCGAAGACACTATTTGACCAATGAGTCGGTTCAAGTTCGTGTACGATGGCCGGCCGATGTCCAGATTTCGACGACAGATGTCGTAGATAGCCTCATTGTCAACCATGAATGCGCAATCCGAGTGTTCAAGTGTGGTATGAGTTGTCAAGATGGAATTGTAAGGCTCGACCACTGCAGTTGAGATCTGAGGCGCAGGATACACCGCGAACTCCAATTTAGATCTCTTGCCGTAGTCAACCGAGAGTCTTTCCATGAGCAAAGAAGTGAATCCAGACCCAGTGCCTCCACCGAACGAGTGGAAAACTAGAAAACCTTGCAGTCCAGTGCATTGGTCGGCCAGTTTGCGGATCTTGTCCAAAACAGAGTCTATGAGCTCCTTGCCGACGGTGTAGTGTCCCCTGGCGTAATTGTTGGCGGCATCCTCCTTGCCTGTGATGAGTTGTTCTGGATGAAACAGCTGGCGGTACTTGCCAGTCCTCACTTCATCAACTACACTGGGTTCCAGGTCTACGAAGATGGCACGTGGAACGTGTTTGCCTAAAAAAAGCTATCATGAGCAGGCGGAACGATATATAGAAGTATGAACAGTTAATAAAGTGCGCAAGAGTTAATAAACAAAAAATAAGCTCATAACGGATGACAATGTACACTAACTCCGTGTTATTTCTCCACAGCGAATAATTCGTTGAATTGAGATTTTGATTGAAGCCCCAATGACATTGAAAAAAAAACTACCAGTAGTTGAAAAATCAGTGTCTTTTCCTCACCCGATCCAGTTTCGCTGAAGAAGGTGTTGAACGAGTCATCGCCCACTCCGAGGGACTTGTCGCTGGGCATCTGACCATCCTCCTGGATCCCATGTTCCAGACAGTACAGCTCCCAACAGGCATTGCCCATCTGCACTCCAGCCTGCCCCACATGGATCGAGAGAACTTCACGCTAAAAATAAGATATTTTTTAGTCCGCTAAAAACTAAAGTGACCTGACTTGAACGGAAATGGTTAAAATCCTCAAAAGTTGAGATTTCGATAGCCGAATTTTTCAAAGCAGAATTTGACTTTTCAAAGATTGCAGATGCAAGATATATAAAGTAGAGTCTAATTTGCTTCCCGATTAATCTCTACGAAACAAAATTGGGCGTTCTGTTGCTCTTTAGATTTTTTTAGATCTAGTTTTGAAAATTCGGGCTCAGCTCTCCTGCTAAATGTTCCAGAATAGCCAAACGGAAAGCAGCCCCCTGTTGTGAAAGACCTTTTATCCGGATAAATAAAACACCAGTAGGAGGGAGGCAATATTTATTCGTTTTTTGTTTACATTGTATTAAAAACTTGGGAACTGTCGATGAACTGAGCAGTTTTGATAAAGTTATTGAAGGAGAGGGCAATTAGAGCTTTTCATTTGTCTACGTATACTTTTAACCAACCACATAGTCGGTTTCTTATGAAAAGCCGAAAGGAGGTAATCAAGGAGAGCAGGGGGATCTAGGATTTTCTCGAGGGGGGGGGGGGCGGATTTTCAAAAATTTTCAAAAATTTTGTCGACCTTATTTTAGGCCGACACATTTATTTTCCGAGCACTGCCAGAACACTATAAAAACTTTATTTTGACAAAAAACTTGGATAAAAAACTGACCAAAAAAGCCGCGGGAAATTTTTTGAAATAACTGGTCAAAATTACCGATCTTAGGCACTTTTTGGAAAATTTAGACAAAAAAATGCGTTTTTTCGGCGCGCGCTCCCCTGTAAAGTTAGGATACATTGGCTTCGAAGGCGCCGCCTTAAGAAAAAAATTGGGTTGGTAAGCCGAAAATGAATGTCATACTTAAAATAATATCAAAGGGGGGGACCTTTGGTAAGTGAGGGGGTCAAATCCCTGAGAGGTGGTGGCGGGGGGGGGGGGGCATCCGCTTTTTGCCTCCTTCTAAATCCACCCCTGAAGGGGAGAGCCGCCTTGTCTAAAAAAAATCCCTTTTTTTCAAGTTGTGTCGCGGACGAATTGTTGAAGTAATATATGAGATTTTGATAAGATTTAGAGAAAAAATCCCATCCATCAACACGAAAATCTAACACCCTTTTTTTGAAAACCGGCAAACGAGCCTTGGTTCAAAAATGAAATTTTCAGGAAATTGCCATTTTTGCATTATTGCAAAAAAATTTTAAGGAGACCGACTTTTTATTGGGCAATTAAAATTTTGTCCTGAAAATTTGTTAAAGATAAAACTAATTTTTCAATTCGTTTTGTAAAATTACATGCATATTTATTGATGTATAGTAAAACATGTTACCATTTTGGCTTGTTGTTATGGAAACAGCAACACTGCAGTTGTGAACTGAGAGAGAGAAATAAAGGAGAATGGAATGAAAACAAAGATGTGGAACTACTCTGAGCTCTTTTAGTAGAAACGGTAGTTGCAACCGTTAGGTAGAATGCAAATGGAATGACTGAGCGAGACGCGAGAAAAGAGTGTTAATATGGTATGGTGCGTCAGCCTCAATGGTATCTATATAACCGTTCCTGTTTAGTAATTCTATCGTGGGGGAGGGGGTGCGAATGGTCCCATATGTTGCAGTCGCTCGTGATTGGTCGAGAGGAACGACTGATGTTGGCTATATAAAATAAACGCATACATGAAAATAGCACCACAACGTGCCTGAAGTTATTATACCAACATATCGCATGAAGTAAAAGAGAGTTTGTTGTGCGCATGTTGTGTGCATTGAGGAGAATTTCCCAGGAGCCTAAAACAGAAAACCTTTCTGATATTTCACTCTGAAACAGCAATTGGGGCAACAAAAGAACTTATGCTGCAGACGTTTGCAGACATTTTTGGAATTTTTTTTAGATGTGACGCCGCGTGGTTTTGGTTTGATTCCACGTATGGTTTTAGAGAAGCTACTGCAAAGAATCTGTGTTTTTGTCACCATAACAGAAAAAGCTATGGAAAAAATTGGACCTAGTAAGTTTTTGGTCGCACCTGTATGGTAAGTTTTAGAATTTCACTATTCATGAGCAAATCATAAACACTAATGCGATGAACAAAAAAATCTATTTTGCGAGCCTTCTAAACTGCAACCAGTCTTCATTATCATCGAATCTCTTTTTCATTCTTGTGAAAGAGTTATCGCCAACAACACCACTGCAGAGTTTTCTTTTATTTATAGCAGCTCTTGTATTCTATGGTGTATCGCTGCAAATGGGGCTTATTATCAATATGCAAACTACATGGCATACCACTATTCCCTAATCAACCCCCTCACCTCCCCCCACCCCTCCTCGATGATGGAGTGACTAACAGTGACGAACTATGTAAAAATAAACATGATACTGTAATTTCTAAGCCAGCCATAAGGCAACATGTAAGCTCAAGAAGGATTGAATGTAGGTATTTCCCTAAAGAAAAACTTTTTCTGTAAAGCAAAAACAAAATACCAGCGTAAATTGTTTTCATTATAATTTTATGTATATCTACGAAATGACAAAAATGAAAACAAGTATGCTAATTTTCACTCTGTAGAAACAAAAATAAATCTTTAGATGCAACTTGCATCAAAAACACCATGAACACCTAATCGAAATTCAAATTGAATTTTTTGTAACATTACCAGCTAAATGCATAACACTATGGAATAGCTTGAGACATTTTTTTAAATGTGCACCCGAGGTAGGTCACTTTAAATATGATGTTTTTAAAATTATTTAAAGACATTCTCAAGCATATTAGTGTCAATTGAATTGTCGTACTTATAGACTGATACCTTTTTGTTAAAACTCTGAATTCGATAGCTGTATTTTTAATTGTAAAATTGAAACTCACATTCTTGCTTGTTTTGTTATTGAGTGACAAGTGTTTGCATTTTCAGCTCTGATGTCTTGATCGTAGAAATTTCAGCATAATTTATTAAAATATTTCTACAACTCCGCAGCGCATTCGACCCCCTGCCGACCCAAAGGGTCCCCCCTTTGATACTTTTTCAGAAATCCATTTTTGGCCGACCGACCCTAAAATTTTTCTAAAGGCGCCTTTGGCGCCAATATATACTAACTTTGAGGGGGAGCGCGCGCCAAAAAAAACGCAATTTTTTTGTCAAAATTTTTCAAAAAGTGCCCAAAAACGGCTTTTTGGTTGTTTTTTCAAAAATTTGCGTTAAAATTTAGCCAAAATATGGGCAAAACACTGCTTTGGGAGAGCTCGAAAAATCAATTTGGTCGACCTAAAAAAAAAAAGGTCGTCAAAATTTTCGAATTTTTTTTGAAAATCCGCCCCCCTCGAGAAAATCCTAGATCCGCTCCTGTGTTTTAGTATATTGTCAGTAGACACAAACTGTTTGGTTTCAGGCGTCAAGCTTTGTAAATTGGTCCAAAATCAAATCCGAAGTTCATAAAACCTTTCAAGTTTTATTTACAATTTTGATTTTCACACAACCACGAGGATTCACACAAACCAGATAGTTTTTCTGTTTTGTGTATGTCATTGAGATTTTCTAAGTAAAATGCATTCTAAGATCAAAAAATTAATTTCAGTATTTATAACAGTTCAATTCAAAACATTGCTTTGGATGGAACAAAAACTGAGGGAGGCATGGCGTGGAATCTTTAATTTTTTCATCATGTTCAACAATAGGTAATTCTCTAAAACGTTTGCTGGACTTAACAAATTCGCAATGGCTAGCTTTTTGTAAGACAAATTAAACAAAAAAAACGTGTCAGAGGACATACAACTGAAAAACTGGAAAGTTTTCAAAACCCAGCCGAAAGTGAAAGCTTTGAATGATTAATTCTACGAATCACAATTTCTCTTGTGTCTTCTATTCAGCACATTTGATAAAGTTTCTTCGGCTTTTGGAAAGCAAGACTTATAACTCAATTAGCTCATAAACATGGAATTCTTTTGCTGTAATTGTTTTGATTGACTGACTTGACTGGTTTCTTGACTCAAATTTTCATTACCTGATTAGTTGCAGTTAACATTCGACTTATTTGACTTTTAGCAGCACAAACAAGAAAGCTGTAATGCGAATTTGGCCTATCACTTGTTTTAAATTTTTTAATGTAATTACTTTTGTTGAAACACTAATTACGTCAGTACGAAAGCCACAAAGTTTTAATAATTAACTTAAAACGCATTTAAATTTTTTCTTTACCTAAGTTTCCAAGAACGCATGCGCACATTTGTCTGAAATTATTTATTTGCCTATAGTTTTTCTCTTTTCTATTGTTGATTTTTTGCTGATATACTTTTGTGACGTCTTTCTCTCTACTATAGTCCTTTTCAAAGCTTAATCAGCATTTAAAACTTCCTTTTTGATTGATATTTTAAAAAACCGATATCATTGATAATGACAAAGCATAAAAGAGGACCTTTTGAAAACCCTTGTGTTAAAGCAACTTTTTATAACTGGTTGCTAGATTTTTTTTCGTGTAATTTAATTTTTCTCACAAATAAATTTTTAAGATAGTCGTCCCCACAAGATTATCATGTTTTCAAAAACAAAGTTTTGGCTTACAGTGCCATAAGTTTTATGCTAGTCGTCCAAGAGTGTACATTGAGTACCATTTGACTGAAAAAACATTGGTAACGAGTTTTTTTAAATTAAAATTACAATTAAATAAATTGGTCCATTGTTACATCATTGCATGATGTCATGCATTCATATGCTATAGATTACATAATTAACCTTGCTTATGAAAAGAAGCTCATAAGTTTATATTTATTTAACTTTGTAAACATTGATGGTAATTAATACAAATCATTGGAACATTATACCGAGCTGAATATCAATCTGATAGAAATCAACTAAAAAAAATTCCAATCATGCTCTAACTTGCGCCGGTCGACTAGCGATAAGTTAAGAACCAAAATAGCTGTTCACAGTCATCCGAAGGGACATGGTATGACAATGTGACTTTCGCGGAAACTTCTACTCCTGAAATCACCAAAATTCATTGGCAATTGAAGACTACAACATACGAGCAGACAGTGATAACCGCATTTTGCTGAAGCAGAACAGTGCAATACCACCCGATTCCCCCAGCAACGCTCAGATGTGGGTAGCAGAGCAACATTTATGGAAAAACTGAGACAGACAGGGAGGAAAACAAGACAGTCATGACTTTTCAACACCTCTGGGATGACAGTTTTTCAATCTACAGGAGCAGATGTGGATTGTGACCTACAACATCTCTACTCTAGTCAGAAGGCAGGACAGCTGAGCTACTGACAAGGCAGACAAAAAAGCAGGTCTACAGGTCAGGTTTTCAACAATCAACAAAAACTGTTGGTTTAACCAAAACTCAAAACTCAAAACTCGAACCTCCAGTAAATTGATATAATTGTCATTATGTTTCCCCACCATGAATCGAAGTAACGGATTACTTAGAAAAACCTTATTATTGAAGCAGCAAAACCTGATTAGCAAAAATAAGTTAAAACACTTGCTGTCTGTCAAAACCCAAATGATTAGCAAATTTTCTAGTGTTTCCCCTAATTCGACTTTCGAATAAGTGCTGCGTCTTATCCCGAAAACAGGTACTCCCGAGTTTTTCCTCGTGAACTTGACAAAGAATGCGCAGCGAGCGTATCCAACACCAGATTTGCCAGCTGTTGCCCCGATTGATCCTGCAATAATTGGAGCACATTCACCAGCAGAAGCAGCACGAGTCTACCGAGAAACTGCTCAAAAGCAAGAAAGTATAGATGCTGTAAATGACAATCGGAATGAACAAACTTGACGATTGTTCATGAAAGGACTGCCAAGGTGGGCTCAGATCAAAGCTGATCAAACAACCTCCCGCGACCAAAGTTCAGGAACTGTGTAACCTGACCAAGAAGCAAATCACGCTGCGCGAAGACGGATTGAACTGAGTAAACGACAAAGTCGCAGAAAGTTTAATAAGCGCTCTCATAAAATTGTTCACAAATCAGAAACAAATGGAGAAGCAGCTCAATGAAATGAGATTACAAAATAGTGAGCAGTCGAAAAAACAATCGAATCCGCCTGTCGAACAAAATCGGAACAACAACAGTCACAATGGTCTGTATAGTGGTTATCTGCCAAATCAAAAAAAAATGGTATGGACAACAACGAGGCAATAAAGGCGGTAGACGAAGAAAAAATTGGCAAAAAAGTTTAATTTTAACAAGACCAAGCCAAACGTTCAAAACATGCCACAGTTGCACCACAGCAGTATCACCAATGGTTCCCTCGAAATCAGCAGTACTCAAACATGTACCAGAACCACTAAAAGCAACCAATAACACAAATGCAGCCATCAGCACAATTCCAGCAGGCTCAGAATTACCCGATGCAACAATTTGCGGCAAATAAAATACCACAAGCTGAAATGCAAGTTTGGAATGGACTTTTTGTACCAATGATGCGATCATCAGCCATATTTTGTGACGTTTGTGGAAAAGTTAACCACACAGCAAATCATCGCTGGTAAAAACAAAAACCACAAGGTTGCGGTCAAACCTTCCCCTTCCAGAGGGAGCCAAAAAACGAAATAAAGCGAATTATGCAAACAGACCCATCAGCTTC